CACCTCACTCACCTTGGACCCTGGGAAGCTGCCTGGCCTGCAGCCCCGTTTTCCTTTCTATAAATTGGGTCAGGAATTTCTCTGTCCCTTCTGCAGCACTATCCCATGGAGTCTGGTGTGTGGAAGCCAAGGCTTGTGCTCATTCAAGCACAATCTTTCAAGTTCCCCACAGGTGACACAGCTCCCGAAGGTGCTGCAGAGGGTGGCGAAGCCTAATGTATAACCCGGGTCCTGACTCCCAGCACTGACGGGGCAGCAGGCTGAGTGGCAGTGGGGCAGGGCTGTGGTGACTTGCACACCAACAGGGCACTGCTCTCACTCTTTCTGACAGAGGCCCAGGGTCTTTGCTGGCCACTGCTGTTCATACCAACCCTCGGCAGCCTCCCTTGGGCTACTGCCTTGGATTGGCACTGGACTCAAGGGAAGCTCTGGGTGTGACGCTCAGAGGGAGCCCTGAGGCCAGGGACAGTGTTCTTGGCTCAAAGGCCCTAAAGATTTCCTGGTTTCCACTGGCTTTCTGGAGAGCTAAGGCTGTTGGCCAGGTGACTCCAGGGGAACGAGCGATGCTCGCATCATCTCTGGCTGGTGCTGTGTTTGGCTGACTTCATAGCCTCTCAGGGATCCTGCTGACAGACATATCTCCCAGCCTGGAGAGCCACAGAGCTGAATCCCTCATGGCTAGATCAGACGCAATGCTCCTGTGGCCTTTCTGTGGCTCAGGAACAGCAAGCCAGTGTCAGTGGAGAGCTGGGCACTGGATTGTGTGGCCTGAGTATCATCCAGCCACCTCTCAGCTCGTGCCAGGGGAAGCTGGGCCTCCAGCTCTCTCCTCTCCTTGCCAATTCTCGTGAGCAGTTTCCACAGAAAATGTGAACCTTGTTGGATGGGGTCCAAGCACAGGGAGTTCCATTGTTCTGGCTTCAGCCCCAGCATCTGGGGGCCTGGCCCAGTCTGGGCATGCACAGCTGGCCTGGTCTTTCTCCCAGTGGCTACAGGTCTCAGGACAGCTATTCAGGAGCCTCAGCCCAGCCACTTCCTGGCTGGGGGGACAGCTCCTGGAACTCCTCGCCTGGACCACCCCTTCCTCTGCTCCAGATGCTTCTGCCAAATGCTTCCAATGACTCAGGGCCTGTTGATTTTCTCGTTCCTGTGTTCCCCTCACTAGCCCTTACTTCACTCAAAGAAGGAAGGAGGGAGAGGAAAAAGGAAAGGCTGCATAATGAGACCTGATTCCTTGACTGGGTGATTCTCAGGGCCTCCCAAACAATGGCAGAACCTGGGAATATTAGTCAGATTCCTATCACTAGGACAAGGTACCCAATACCCACAATTTAACAGAAGACAGGTTAATTTGGTTTATAGTTTCAGTGGGTTCAGTCCATGGTTGGCTGGCTCCAAGGCAGAAGGGGCATGGTGGATGGGAATAGAGGAAGAAAGCTGCTCACCATGGAGTCCTTGAAGCAGAGAGAAAAGAGAAGAGCCAAAGACAAGAACAGTCTTCCAGATCATGACCCAGTGACCCACCTGCAGCCAAGCCATACCTCCTAAGGCACATTCAGCTATGAACGCATCAATGAACAAATGCACTGATGGGTACAGCACCCATGTGATCCATCCACCTTTCCAAAGCCCCACCTCTGAACACAAGAGTTGTGAGGAACATTCTAGCTCCAAACATAACACTGGACCTCTTCTGAAGAATGGGATAGTCTAGACCCCAGCCACAGCTGTGCCAGGACATCTGGGCAGAACAACCCCTGCTCTGGGTGGTGAATGCTGGCTAGGGTGGGTTGAGGTGGGGGTGGCCTGCCTTTCTGCCCTCTTCCCCAGGGGCACATTCTCCTTTGGCCCTTGCCCTACTAGAGCTGTGGGTGTCAGTTCCAGGAGCTTTTCTGTTCAGCTCTAGCTCCTGGGAAGCACAGGCTATGGGGCTGCCATTGCAGACCATATGTTAGAGGTCCTTTTCTCTCCACCTTGGACACCCTTTGTTGTTCTTAGGAATGGCTTAGGAAAAGGCTTCTTAGGAAAAGGCTTAACCAACTGAACACACTGAATATTAATCAATAACCCCTCATTGCAAAGCTCATTGCCCCATGTATTCCTCTCTTGACACTGCCAAGACAGAGTACCACAAATGCATAGCTTTTAACAGTAGAAATGTATTTCACAGTTCTGGAAGCCATAAGTCCAAGATCAAGGAACAGAGACCATTTCACACTTCTTCCCAGCTTGTGGCTCTAACCATCCTTATCCTGGAGGCGCAAAACTCCAATCTCTGGTCCCATTATCAAGAAGCCTCTTCTGAGACTCTGTATCTAAAAGTTTCTGTGTCCAAATTCCTTTTTCTTATAAGGATGCTGCTTTTTTAAAATTTATTTTTATTTTTTATTTTTTAGTACCAGGGATTGAACTCAGGTCCTTGTGCTTGCAAGGCAGGCCACTGAACCACTGAGCTAAATCTCCGGCCCAGGATGCTGCTTTTTAAAAACATTGTTAATTTTATTTTGAGGCAGAGTCTAAGTCGCTGAGCTCAAACATGCAATCCTCTTGCCTCAGTCTCCCAGAGTGCTGGGATTATACCCAATTTGGGATTGGTACCCCCCTAATTCCGTGTGACTTCATCTTAACTTGGCTACATCTATCTCCAAAGTCATAGGTACCAGGGATTGATTAGGACTTGAAAATCTCTTTTTGGAGGACAGACATCAATCCCACTATACCTAAGTTATCATTTCACATGATGGTTAAGCTTTCTGGCCTCATCAAAAGAAAATTCCCATCTTTTTGAGGCTTCTGGAAACACAGTGAGGAACTCCCAGATCCAAGGCCTCCATGTGTGGGTTGTAGCGGAGCAGGGCTGTTGCTAGGGCACTGGAGTTGGTGGAAAGCAAAGATACAGGGGCTTTCTTTGTGGCCATGAGAACTGCTGTTACTAAGGACCAGAAACTGCCCTGTCCCCAAGGACAGTATGTTGCTGCTGCTCATCCCTGGAGCTGCAGAACCCCAAGGTCAGAGTCAGTAGGGAGCGGCAGGGGACTGGGGTCCCCATCATGCAAGTGAGAGGACAGACTAGGTGCCTAAGCCATGTTGGGCTGGGGGTACCAGTCCTGGATAGTCTACCTGTTCACAGCCTGCAGTCACCTGGTACCAGGGAAGAGAATTCACTCTGCCAGGTTCCAACCTAATCCTGGAAGTGGCCTCGATTGTGGTGGAAAAGGGGTTTCATTCTGTCCTTCAGTCCCAGCAGCCATGGCTACATTGGAAAAGAGGAGTCTGAGCCAGAATCCCCTGCTTTCCTGACCTGGCAGCCTTTAGGGATTGAGAATGGTAGTCTTTCCCAATTGGGTGGTGTCTCCAAGTTATTTAGAGGGCAGAAATCATAGCCTTGCTTGGAGAGGTCTCATGCCCCAGGGCCTTATCACAGGAAAACAGGTGTGTCAAGGCAGTCAGAGGAGTGGAGGGATAGGCCTCCTGGGCAGCCACTCCCCAGCCTGCCGTGAGGCCGGTGTGCTGATGGAGCTGGCAGCCAGGTTGGAAAGTTGTTTCTCAGAACACAGCAGGCCCAGAAGCACGGCCCCAGGACAAAGCCAGGACTCACCTTGTGCTTCTGGGGAGAGGAAGATGGAGGCAGGTAGGGCTGGCACTTGCTGTTGGTCTACCCTCTGTATCAGGCTGCTGTGGATTGAACCTAGGACCTTTTTATTGAGCTACATCCGCAACCCTTCTTATCTGTTTGTTTTGTTTAGTTTTTTGGTACCAAGGATTGAACTCAGGACCTTGTGCTGGCCAAACAGGTGGCAGAACCACTGAGCTAAATCCCTGGTCTCCCTTCTTACCTGTTTTGAGACAGGGTCTTGGTGAATCGGTAAGTTGCCCAGGCTGGCCTCAAACATGCCCTCTTCCTGTTTCAGCTTCCTAGTGTGCAGGGTTTAAAGATGTGCAAGCACCATACCCAAGTCTCATCTCTCTCCACTTGAGGACTGCCCCATAGGAAGCACGGTCCTGTCACTGTCAGCACCACTTTTGTCTCAGGTCTTAACAAAAGATGTAACCTACCCGCTTGTGGCCTTACACACATGCTTTTGTGGCTTATGTACCGAGCCTTACTTGGAGCACTCTACACTCACTGTATCCCTACTATTCCCTCTCACGCATGAGGATACTGATGCACACAGACGTTAAGTAACTTGCCCAAGATCACACAGCCATAGGTGACTGAACCAGCCTCTGAATTCAGGTCATGCCCATCCTTCATACAGGCCACTTGGTTCCCCCAAGGGTCACCACGGACTGTGATGACAGCTGCTGGGAGGAGGCCGGCCTAAAGCACACAGGCTACCCCCGCGCAGTGCAATGGTCCAACGAACACGTGAACACGTAGGATGAAGTGCAGCCACGCACGAAGCCAGAGTTCGGCCTCCGGGTTTATACGGAGCCCCAACACTAGTGTAGGAGTAGAGGGTCTCGGGCCTTCCGGGCTATGATACCCTTCTCCGGAGGGCAAGGGAGTGGGCGGGGCCGCTGCTGGCGAGCCAATAAAGAGTTGGGGGCAGTATCTGCGTCTGGAGGGTGTAGCCACCGGTACAGTGGTAGGGTGGGCGGGGCTAGCGGGACAGAGGACCAACGGAGATGCAGGAAAGGGTGAGAGGTCTCGTTGAAGGGCGGAAACGATGAGAGACCAGCCAATGGCAATTAGAATACACGATTGGAGGGCGGGGTGAGTGTGGGGCGTGGTCTGAAGATG